ATCATCATCATCATCATCATTATTATTATTATTATTATTATTATTATTATTATTATTATTATTATTATTATTATTATTATTATTCAAAAATGCCAGGCACAGCCAAACAAAATTATAAAATCATTGACTGGTCTTATATAATAGATAGAAGTTTTAATAAAAACCTAAGTATCTGTTAAATATCGGCACAGTATGTATGCTGTTCCTAATATTGCCGTCTTTTTGTAGCTCTGGTGGTGTTATTTCTGAGACCTGCAACTGCTTATAATACTGTGAGAAATTTCTTGATATTGTTCCCAAAGTCCCGATGATTACGGGCACCATTGAAGTGTGTTACATCGACAAGCGAGATGTTTTGATTGCCAGGCCTCTGTACTTTGTTAGTTTTTCCAATTCTTTATCTTCAAATCTGGCATCCCTGGGAATTGCCATGTCAATGATCCAGACCTTTCTTCCTTCTATTACTACTGTTGTCTGGTGTGTTATGTTCAAGGTGTCAACCAGTTTGGATCCGGAAACTTCACAAGATCTTGACATCATCATTTTCTGACACCTTCTCTATCTGATGTCCCATGAGTTTATGGAGGCTGGCGAGTTATATTGTTTGCATAATGACCAATGCACTAATTTTGCTACTCTATCATGTCTAATTTTGTAATCTGTTTGTGCACTCTTTGGACATCCACAGATGATTTGTGAATAATAATAATGTTTATATGCTATTTGACATAAAGCTCTAACCATGAAAACACCAATAAAAGTTTTTGAAATCTTTAGAATTTAATAGCTAATTAAATGTGCAGCTATTACTAAAAATATTTCATTACTATTCGTAACAATGACAATGAAATCCCCCCCCACCTCACATGAAAGAAGGCTTTTGGGGACAAGCGTCGTTTCATAGGAGACCTCCCTGTGGCACTTTGACTTTTTACATCCATGTCTCTCCCTCCAAAAGACAAAACATTTGCAGGCTGAAAATGTGATTTATCTGCTGACGGGGTGAGCGGGGGTCGAGGTCTACGCCGGTCGCCTCAGTCCCGCGAAGGGTTAATAGTATGGCGGCCACGTGGGGAAGGAGGAAGAGGAGGAGGCGCCTTCCTGCTCCGCCTTTGGGCTGGGGGGGGAGAAGACTAGGGTTGTAACACCCCCAAACAGCCGCATCTGGTGCAAGGGGGCGGGAGGGAAAAGACCGGCTCTCCCCGCCAAGGGTGAGTTGCAGAGGCGGGCCTCCCCATTTTGCAAGGCCACGTGCATGACAAGGCGGGGGGGGGTTGCAGTGGTTTTGGGGGTGCCTTTCAGTCCCCCCCCCCAAATTTGAGGTGGAAAATGGCAAATATCCGGGGGGGGGGCTGGCAAAAGAGAGGGAGGGAGGGAGGACGAGAAGGCAGGGGGAGCGTTTGCTCTCTCTTTGCCCCTCCCACCCCCAGCCACATCAAAGAGGCAAAATGGCTGCATTCCCCTTGTCTTGGTGTCAAATGGGGTGGGGGAGAGAATGGGAGAGGGGCCTGCAAATGCACAAGGGCCTCTCTGCTTGGAGCTGCTGGAGGGAAAGGGGGGGGGCGAAGCGCGGAGTGCTTATGGGGAAAAGAGTGGGTCTCGTATTAGTGTGGTGAAGACTGGAAAATGAATGGTCATGGGTCCTTCTTTCTCTTTGCATGGAGCTGGGTTTCCAGCCCTATGGATTGGGGGCAGCCGGCCGGCGGTGGGGGGGAGCTTTCCCCCGTTGGAGGATGGGCTCGGAGATGGCGTGGAGGGTTGGGGGACGGAGAGGGCTGGACAGATTCCCACCTACCCACCCACTGGGAGGTGGGGCAGGAAGGGAGGTAGAGGTGGAAATTTGAGACATCTATTCTGAGGGGTGGACAGGAAGCTGAGTTTACAGTCAGAAAGCGGGAGGGGGGGAGAGAGAGTATTTCTTAGCCTCTGGTAGTGAGGTGGAAATATATGCTCTTTCCATAGGTTCTTACCTCTGCTTTGGAAAACGTGAAATTACCTGCCTTGGTTGGCATAAATAAAAACAGGATGCAGCTGAAATTCTTGGTCCAACCTCTCCCCTCTCCCCATCCTGTGTTGAGTCCAACATGAATCAATCCTATCTGTAAACAAATAATGAGATTTGGGGATTACCACCTTATTCCCAGATTAATTGCTTATTGGTTGCAATTACCAGGTAGACTGGACAACCCAAAATTGATGAGCCATGTTTCTTACAGTAAGTAAATAGACCTGTTTCTCAGCCCCACATGCTGTTCACTGATTCTCTCTCTGCCTCCCCAGACAGCTTTCCACTTTGTGTCTGCCTTGTGGACTGGCGCTTCGGGTTTCATGGCAGTTTCGGAGATGCCGTTGGTCTTCTTTAATCTCAGACCTAGCTAGAGATCAATCTGGCAGATTATTTGGGCAATAGGTGGAGGTTTTGTGAAGAATCATGTCCCTCAGGTTTGTGTTGAGCTTGGGGTGATTTTTATTCCCCTCCTGAATTCCTTTCATACATTTCCCCCCCAAGTTCTCCCAACAATGATTTGGGATTGGATTTGCCTCTGGAAGGACACTGGGGATCAATAGCAGATGAGTTTTCACATAAGTGCTTGTTTGCTTTTGAATAATCTTTCCATTATGTTCAATTTGTCTGTCTACATGTGTCTCTGAAATGTTTCTCCTCATAGTGATATTTTGTTATTAATAGCAATAGTATTCCATTCATTCACATTTTTCATGAAGGTAAAGATTTGCAAAGTGGAGTAGAGGGTTGAACTTATCCCCAGTTTTTGTAAATCTTGAGAGATTTCTTTGTCTCGGGCCAGGGGGGAGCAGTGTTACTGGATTTGGAAGGCTGTACTACCTTTCTCCAGATTTTTGGGAAATCAAAAATATGTACTTAAATTCATGTTCACTGAAGTTGGCTCTATGCAACCTGATAGAAAATAGAGGTCAAGATTTTTGGAACACTCATGGCTTGGTGAAGCAAGTATTTGCATATTTCAAAATGAAAAAGAAAACAATTATGGGCAAAATTTAATCCCCCACTTGCTGTCTATCAACTAAATTTAAATGTGGAGAGTTTCAATTCCTTGCCACTCTTGTGGATGTTTTAATTTTTAAATGCTCCTTTGTGATCCTTATGCATTATGTGATAATGTAAAGTTCTTTACTAGTCACATTCGAGATACCATAGTCACTTAACAGTCATTTTGACTTGTTACTCAGCTATGAAATTAACCATAGAGAAATTCATAATTCATGTTGTGGCAGTATCACCAACTAAAACTAATTAATCAACTAAAAAGATGCAACATTTTCACTGTCAGACAGAAGCCATGGCTATGGGCAGAATTTGGAAAAGTTACTTTTTAAAAAATTGTAGCAAAAACAGCAGAGAGTTGAGGCACCATAAATAGTAATCAGTTTTATGAACTGTCATCCATTTCATCTGAAGAAGTATATGCAAAATACAGCTGGTTAATTTTTCTGATGCAGCAACAAGATTTTCTGGCCTGTTGGTAGTTTGAATTAGGGAGCAGACCCACTAAATAAATTGTTGAATTGTAACTCAGCACTTAGCTGTCTGGATAGCTCAGTGAGATAATAAAGATCGTTGATTGGGACGTACTACTTAGCTGTCTGGATAGCTCAGTGAGATAGTAAAGACCGGGAGTCTGATTTCTCGCTATGCCTCCCAGGGAAAGAGCCAGCCTGTGTAACCTTGGTCAAGCTGCACAGTCCTTGGGCACATCAGAAGAAATCACTTTCTGAGTTTTGTATACCTAGAAAACCCTGCAATGGGTTACTGTGGATCAGAATTGACTTGATAAGAAAAAAGTCAACACAATGTATGTACATCCTTAATAATAGGACATTGGCCTTTGTTTTTGTTACAACAAACTAACACAGCTATTTCTCTGGACATGGACTATAGGTCCAATAATTCCTCAGTCAGCATGGACATGCTAGCTGAGGGATTCTAAAAGTTGTGGTTCAAAAAGGAACTTCTGCACGCTTGGTATGGGAGAAGGTTGATTGGGACGTATTCTTGATTCTGAAGGCTGATGGAGACTTCTGTACTGGAAATGTCTATGACTGATGGAGGGCCAGTGGAAGAAGGGGGGTGGACCAGTTCATTTGTGAGATCATATGCTTTGAGGTTTTTAAAACTGATTTCAAAGCAATTGTGCCCATTTTTTAAAAAGTGACAAATGAGATGAATCCAGTGTTTTCACATTGACAAAACACAGCTATTTCTCTGGACATGGACTATAGGTCCAATAATTCCTCAGTCAGCATGGACATGCTAGCTGAGGGATTCTAAAAGTTGTGGTTCAAAAAGGAACTTCTGCACGCTTGGTATGGGAGAAGGTTGATTGGGACGTATTCTTGATTCTGAAGGCTGATGGAGACTTCTGTACAGGAAATGTCTATGACTGATGGGGGGCTAGCGGAAGAAAGGGGATGGACCAGTTCATTTGTGAGATTATGTGCTTTGAAGTTTTTAAAACTGTCTGCAAAGCCATTGTGCCCATTTTTTTAAAAAGTGGCAAATGAGATGAATCCAATGTTTTCACATTGATGGTGTCCTTAAGCTGCAAGGCTGTTTCCTCCAATGGTGAATGATGGGGGCTGGGGAGATGGGTTGGAAAATAGCATTGTTCATATCTCTTGCCTTGTGCCCTGGGAGTTTGCCAGGTGCCCGCCAGTGATAGGGAGAATATTGTCCGATCAGCAGTGTTGAAGTAAGATGTAATTGCCCATTTAGTTGGCCTTGACAAGGCAGGCCCCCTTTCCCCTTTTTCCTGAAGCAGAGAGATGTCTTGGGCCAGACCCACCAGTTGTTTTGTTGAGTGTATTTATTCTGGCTCCTTTGCCGAATAGGCTTAATATGTTTCCCTACAGCTTTGTAACCTGCTCTGAGATTCTGTGATATAGGGCAGGCTACGAATGAATGAATGAATGAATGAATGAATGAATGAATGAATGAATGAATGAATGAATGAATGAATGAATGAATGAATGAATGAATGAATGTTGCTGCTGTGGTCATTTAATTTTTTTTTACCATGCCATCAGCATGTGTGGTAGGAGGGCAAGGGAAGGAATTTGGGGCTGTTAAAATGGAGAAAGAGCGAGAGCATAGCAGAGCAGTGAAGCTTGCTTTGGCCACAAATTAATTGCACCTGGGATAGACCAGAATATTTCTTCATGGCAGTGTGTGTGTGGCATGGAGGTTTTGACGGGAGGTATTGCCCTGGGCTGTGGACCTCCCCCCCCATCTGCATACTCAAGTGGTACAGTCCTTGGAACACTAACTACCGGATTATTCTGAAAGTGCACAAGAGTACAAACAGCAAGAGCTGTGGATCATCCTAGGATACAGTAATTCTCTGTGGCTTCCCTTTATCCCTCCTGAAAAATCAAATTGATAGAGTTACAGAGGGCTGCTACAGTGTTGCTCATTCCCTTCCTTTCTCCCGTTCTTTACTGGCTGCTGAGAGGGAGATTTTCTCTCTCTCTAAAAATCAGTCATGTATACAGTGTAACAGCTTTCCGTGGCTCAGAGCCTTCCAGGTTTGTTAGACTACAACTTCCCTCATCTCCAGCAGTTGCACATCATGGGAGTTGTAGTTGGCACATCTGGAAGACACCAGGTATCTAATCTTTTTAGCCTGTTTTTTGTTTGTGTGTGTGTGTTTTTCTGTTTAACCACTGAATTGGTTTGATTAATTTGTTAGGAAAATCTTTTTACTAATACACATAAATGCCTACAGGTACACAGGTGATGAAATAGGAGCTTTAATTTTTTTTAAAAAAAAAATGTAAAACACAATTTAGTTTATACATATTTTTTAAGCTTCAGGTGGTGGGTCTGATTTTGGAACAAGAATTCTTTTTTTCTTACATTTCTGTTCTGATACCGCTCTTCGTTTGGAAAGTGTACATCTCATCAAGAAATAAGAAAATATGATTACTTAATTTTCAGAAGTGATGCTCTTACGTGAAAGCAAGGATTGTCTTATTAACAAATACAACTTTTCATTGATTGATTGGCTTGGGTTTTTTCACTTTGATGATGTCTTTCCTTTTTTTCCCTTTAGGGAGAAAAAAATGCATCTATAAACACCAGTTCCATATAGTCGCTAGCTCAGTGAATGGAGAGACCCTGCTATGGGATAGCATTTCTAACAAAGCGTTCTCAGTTTCCCTGGAATCTGCTGCTGGTTTATAGGTTAATCGTTTAAAGGGGGGAGGATTCCTTTCCTACCATGTTTGCCTGTGAAACTTGGGCCCTTGGTGGCCAGACCTCAGTCTATAATTGGGACAAGTCCGTCTATCTCTTGGAAGACAAAATAGAGCCTGAGCAAGGGTCAGGGGACCTGGATCTCCATTTCAAGGTGCTGCTTGAGCAGGAGATGTACCCAGAAATTACAATTGAGGAGGAAGAGGAAGGTGAAGAGGAAGAAATCGTAGAGGAAGAAATAGTGGTTGATGCAGAAGGGGCACCGGAAGAGGAAGAGGAGGAAGTGATCGTAGATCCGGATGGGGAAGAGGAAGAGGAGGAGGAGGAAGAAGATGAAGAGGAGGAGGAGGAGGAAGGGGAGGAGGTTGACGATGAAGATGAGGATGAAGAGGGAAATCCATCAGCCCCCCAACGTGAGGCCATGGGAGCAGAAGAAGGAGACGAATCATTGCTTGTGGTGTGTACTGGGACCGTTGAAGAACTTCTGGGTTTGGAGACATCCCCCACAGGTCAACCAGAGCAACTTGAGGAGGCCCCACAACCTCAACGGTGGGAAGTCCAGTGGGAGGAAGTGTCGCAGGCACTGGAGCCTCCACCCCCTGAAATTGTGGAACCGCCACCACCACCAGCACCTCCACCACTGCCGCCACCACCACCTCTACCAGAGGTTTCCCCAGTGGCCGAGGTGGCCCCAATAGAAGTAGAACCAGAGGTCTTCCGTCCAGGTTTGGAACAAGCAGGGAATACCTCCTCTTCCCCCTGGGGAGCGCCTTTCATTGAAGAGGCCCAACATCAAGAAACACACACCAGCCCACCTGGTGGAGACAGAGGGAGTGCCGGGAAGGCACGGCCACCTGCCTCAGGAGGGGGTGGCTTTACCCTGGAAACAGCCCGCCGGCGTTTCCGGCAGTTTTGCTACCAAGACGCGGAAGGTCCACGAAAGGCTTGCGGGCAGCTCTGGGAGCTTTGCAATCACTGGCTAAAACCCAAAAACCGCACCAAGGAGCAGATTTTGGACGTTTTGATCCTGGAGCAGTTTCTGGCTGTCCTGCCTCCAAGGATTCGGAGTCGGGTATGGGAGCGTAGCCCTGAGACCTGTGCCCGGGCAGTGGCCCTGGCTGAGGAATTTCTGGCCAAGCCACAGGAGGCAGAGAGAGCAGAGGAGGAGGTGAGCTTTCAAACCCCATCCCTTGAGGTACCTTGCTTTGGGGGCAACGTCTGCTGTTGGCAAATTGCATGACTGCATTTACGTTGTTGGTATATTTATCAAAGATGAGGTGTGTAGCTTTCCAGCAGATGATGTCAAAGCAGCATGGAATCAGTCTTATAATAAGAGGGATGTTGGCAAATCTTTCAGTCTGAGTCCGAGTCTTTGGTACCAAGACGCAAGTTCCAAGTCCGAGTCCCTATTAAAAATAAACTTTCTGCCCCAGAGAAAAAGAAAGAGATGGGTGGGTTCTGAGTCACAAGTCAGAGTCATTGGGGAAAAACAGAGTCGAGTCACCAGTGCAACTTGAGTCCAAATTGTCAGTGAGTACCCCAACTCAACCCCTATCCCTGTATAATAATGTGTGTTTCCTTTAAAAAAATCCCCATAAAGATGGATATAATACAATGCACGAAAATCAAGCACCATTAAAAGTGTAGAAATAGGTATCATTCCTTCCATTTCTAATCTACAAGCATGGGTGCCAATCCTGACTTAGGCAAAATGGTACCATTTATACCCCAGTGGAAGGTATCAAAATGCATGGAAAGTTTACAGAAGTGTAAAAATAAGGGGAAGATCCTAAAACAAACAAGGGGTCTGCCCACTCTTTGCAAATCCCAATGGCAGACGTAAAAAACGGTTTACACTTCAGTGAAACTATTGGCCCATTTAACCCTGTATGGTCAATGTAGGCTAGCAGTAGCTCTACAGCACTACAAGCAGGACTCTCTTGCCCCTTGCCTGGATGTGTTTGGCGATCCCTGGTATTCCCAGGAAGACTCCCGGCCAAATATTAACCAAGCCTGACCCTGATTCACTCCTGAAACCAGACAAACTTGATTTGTTCAGGATGATGGGGTAAGATGATAAGAGCACATGCTCAGTGGCAACAGAATGGTGAGAGATGTGATGGTGAGAATATCAGAAAACAGAGAAGAGGAATGGACTGGAGTAGAGTGGGGTGGCTGGAATCCTTAACTGGATATCTCCCAAAGAACTACATTTTCTTACTGATTGTGTACAATCCTAGAAATACTAACATAATGTAAAATGTTATTTTGTGCTCCCAAAACACAGGCGAGAAAGAAATAAACAAACAAAATACAACAGTACTAAAAAGCATTCTGCAGTGACCTGAAAGGTTTTAATTCTTGGGGAAGGCAATCTAGTTTTTGAGTAACTGGGAATCCCCTTCACGGATTGCTGTCTTGTCGTGGCGAAGGGGCTTGGGTAATTCAGAGAATCTATGGGCTATGCCGTGCAGGGACACCCAAGATGGACAGGTCATAGTGGAGAGTTCTGACTAAACGCGACCCGCCTGGAGCAGGAACTGGCAAGCCGCTCCAGTATCTTTGCCAAGAAAACTCCATGGACAGAAACAAAAAGGCTAAAAGATATGATGATGGAAGATGAGCCCCTCAGGTCAGAAGGTGTCTAATGTGCTACTGAGGAAGAGTGGAGGATACATACAAGTAGCTCCAGAGCTAATGAAGTGGTTGGGCCAAAACCGAAAGGACACTTAGCTGCAGAGGCGTCTGGAAGTGAAAGGACAGTCCGATGCTGCAAAGAAAAATACTGCATAGGAACCTGAAATGTAAGATCTATGAACCTTGATAAGCTGGATGTGGTCAAACAGGAGACAGCAAGAATAAACATTGACATCCTGGGTGTCAGTGAACTAAAATCGATGGGAATGGGCGAATTCAATTCAGACGATTACCACATCTACTATTGTGGGCAAGAAACCCGTAGAAGGAATGGAGTAGCCCTCATAGTCAACAAAAGA